ATTTACAATACTTTTAACGACGTATCGATTTGAGTTGAAGCTGATGACTTTGATAAAGTGTTTTACGTAGTATGTAGAAGTTAATGCGTAAAATATGTTTTTCGTAAATTCAGGGAATGGAAGTAACTCGTTACTTGTAACGAAGTTACAGTTACAAGTTACTTTTTTGGTAACTTTACTGGTAACTGCGTTACTTTCTTTTTTTGGTAACTGTAACGGTAACGAGTTACATTTTTTGAGTAACGGTAACGAAATTTACAGTTACTTTCGTCGTTACTTTGCACACGATTGAACACGGTTTGATTGGATACATGCTATTTATAGCGCTTATCAATAAGACTTGAAAGCCCTTAGACATTCGGCTGTCATGATTCAGTAATTATTTTACACTTCTATCTTCTATGTAATACATAGGACATACAAATATTTCAGTTTGCTGCATATTTTACAGGTTTTAGAATTACAAAATTGTGTTTAAAAAAAATTAAAAAATAAATTAAATAATAGTAAAATGAGAAGGGCTACGAACCCAAAAGCGAAACAGTTTAAAAGACGATGACAATAAGTGTCGAAACGTCGTTTGTTTTTATCTTGTTTTATCCATGTTATTGTTCTAATATATATTTATACATTTAATTACATTGTCATCGTCGTTCTTATCGGAAATAAACTGTTTCATTTTTGGCTCGTAACCCTTCTCATTTTACTTTTATTTAATTTATTATTTGAGCCATACTACATTGTTTTTTTTTTTAAATAAAATTATATATTTGTCAGTATTACACATAAAAAAAAAAAATGCAAAAGTACATTTTTAAATTGATTTTAAAAAAGTAACGGAAAAGTAACGAAAAGTTATTTTTCAAGTAACGGTAACTGTAACGAGTTACTTTTAAAAAGCGATAACTGTAACTGTAACTAGTTACATTTTTTACTCGGTAACGAGTAACTGTAACTAGTTACTTTTAAAAAGTAACTTTCCATTCCCTGCGTAAATTAATGGTACGTAGTATTATTTTTGTAACAATAATACAACTTATAATATTAAATTTTTAATGTTTATTTTTTAGTTTAAACTTTTAAAATTAATTTTTAATATTTGCTAAATGTATTTTAAACATAACTGTGTTGTTTATGTTTATGTTTACATTAATGCTTATAATTATTAACGCTAAAAGCGAGGCTAAAAGCTTGTAATGTTATATGTACGACTTGTACGACATCAATAAATACCATAGTGTGTCTATCTAAATGTAGCACTGTATCAAAATAAAAGCGGAATATGCAAAAAATATTCTAGATAAAAAGAAAAATTAAAAGACTCAAAAGTTAACAACTTTTTAGTAGAGCATTTTTTAAATTCTTTCTGAATATTAGAACGTTTTAATTAAGTTAGTGAATACGCTTTACTTTCTTTTCATGTTATACTTTCATTATGAATATTCTCCAAAATTGTAAAATGAGTCTAAAATTCGTGAATGCTGCCAACACTGTGGAAGGTATAGTTATACAACTTCATTCCTTACTAGAATTATGCCATTTTTTCATATAAGTAATGTATTGACAAATATGTTTTTCTACAAAAATATATTAGTCTTTTTATGGTCAATTTCATTTAATAAATTATTTCAAAATTAATTTTAATTTTGAGATAATTTATTTAAATAACTAATTTTCTACTTCTGTCACTTCTTTATCAATTTTGTATTTTGTGATATCATGTTCTGCAGGTTTAGTTTAAGACTGTTTTAAGAAAAAAGTTAATTTGTAGCGCAGTTTCCTCGAGAATTAGAAATTGTAAAATTCATACATATGCAAATATTATTTTAGACACCAAGTCTCGCTTTATGGCCTTTTTCGCTCAATTGTGTTAAAAATAATTACGCACAAATACAAAATGTGCTTTATATGTATTATTTACAAATTTAAATATAAAATCGCGAAATTATCCTCTTTCCTCGTCGATTTATAGCCTATCGTATGTTAATAAAAAAATTTGATTCGCGACAGCGATAAGTCAGTCGCTCGTGAAAAGTCTTGCATATCGTGCTGCATTTCTATCGCGAAGTTTCAGAATTGCGAGCAGAAGAAAAATGTAGATACGGGAAACGAATTGTCATCATATATCGAAGCTCGCAATTTCGTACTCATCTCAGTAAACAGAAACAAAAAGTTCGCCGGATAGAAGTATCATTCGATATCTGTCAAACATAAAGCTAGCGCAACGAACGCTTTTTCCATCAAACGCGTAACAGGTAAATTCCAAATTGTCAAGAATAAGTTCTAATTTTAAACATTAAACTGTAGTATATATAATGATACGATAATACTTTTATACATAACGTATAAATTTTGAGATTGCAAGAATAAAGATAAGAAGAGAATCCGCTAATTAAAATCTCTCGTTTTAATGATACATACTTTGACAACGCCTGTTGAATTATTCAAGAGTATTACTTTCGTTGCATTCGTCAATTGTAATAAATCATTACGGCTGCGATAAAATAAAAAGAACGAAAGTTGCATGCTTTTATTCACGCTTCCATTCGCTGGCAATTATCTCGGCGTTAATACTTGGAAAGTCGAAATATCAAAAAAGCTCCATAAATTCAACATGATCGCAAGCGCGTGCTTTTGCCAACGAGCTAAGCCTATTTTTCTACGTCGGATACGGGAAAGAAGGATTCGCTATTACGTTGCAGAGGCCACCTTTCATCCCTTCCGCGAGATAATTTTCTTGTGTTTACGGTCCGCGAAATATCCTATACCATTTTTCCTTGCCACTGGCCACAAAAAGAAGGAAGCTTATTCATATTACGAGAATGAAGGAGAGTCTAGGGGATAGAAAACTAAAGGGAAAAGAACATACGAGGTAAGAAATATCATTGAGTCGCACAATAACAATATCCACGCAGTATGCGCTTCTGCAATTGCAGAAGCGCGCGATGCGTGTGTATGAATCGGATCGAATTACGTTAATCAGCCGGCCTCGAGCTTATCGGAAACGATTGATGCAACTAGCCGTGAAACACATTTGATTTATTGTACTTCTACGAAATTCTACCTTATTTATGAGCATGAACCAAAAAGTTACGGCTAATTAATGTCTGTCAACCACTATAGATTAATTTTAAATTTGAATTATATATAATTTATTCATTATCTTTTTCTAAATTTTAAACAGGTATTTATAGTTGATATCATATAGTCTTATATGTTATTTAAGAGAATTGTCTTACGTACGATCTTAAGATGTCCTAAAGTAATTAGAAAATACTAGCATCTTAAAATATTACTTACGACAGCCTTGAAATATTATAAAAAAGGATCGACTATGAGTTTTAGCAAAAAAATTAGAAAAAAATAATATTAAAAGAAAAACAAAAAGAAAAAACTGATTCTGATTTTTTGAAACCGTTAACAACTTTTTAACGTTTAATCTTTGTTGTTCTTATAATTAATTTATTCTGATGTTTGTAATTACTCCGTTTTTTTTTATGTACCTCTTGCATTCTTACCAGGTTTCTTTTTGAAATCATCGCTGACGTGGAACCACGATAAAGGATTTTCAATTTACATCTGAGCGGGAATTTATCTGTTATGCGGGAGTGTAAGAGATTCCATTTCTATACTTTTGTATGTCGCTGAGAATGACCCCAAATGTAACCAAAATGTTCAAATTTTGAGAAGCAAGCTAAATATATTTATGTTTAATTTCTATTAAAATTGTATGTTGAATGTTGCGCACCAAGTATCGCGTCGCGTCTCTTATTTGTCCTATTTTTTCTAATATTTAAAAATTTTGAGAGTCCTTATTAAATTCCTTTTTTTTATTTTTAGATAATATTAAGTAAATTGATTCGAGATTAAAGTTATTCTATGAAAGAAATGTTATATGCATAAGTATAAACTGTAATAAACTAGAGATTATTCGATCTTATCACTGAGTTTGAAATTTTCTAGCATGAAATAGTAATGTCTATTACATACGTATTTATTTCGAGGATGTAATCAAGACATGTCGTGCGATTATATCTTAAGTGTGACTATTAAATCTGTGCTGTATTCTATCCGGGAATGCGTTTGAACGAATCTCAAGACCTTATTTTCCTACGTCGCAAGTCGCGCGCGTTTATCACACGCCGAAACGACGCAAATCCGTAAATTTTAAGTGCTAATCTAATCACGTGCCTGCTTCGCTTTCATTGAGACGCGTTCTTATTTGATTGCGCGCTCTCTCCACTCAAGGATACTACTGGATACTACTAATGTTGCATCGCCACGCATACCAGGCTTACACATCAATCGTATACCATATCCTTCCTTATCTTTATGCTTTCCGCACGATCTTGTAACCCGGACCGGTACTGGAAAAGAGACTTCCTATTCCATTCCATTCTGTGCACTCTGGCGTCCGCTTGGTGAATGCCGGTGTTTGCACGCGAACGAGTTTCGTTATGGGAAATTGTACAGTTGTCCCCGGTATGTCGCGCGATAGCATAAGCGACGTCAAAATGCAGCTTAGCCACATGAAATGCGACAGACCGGCCAACCGACCGATATGTGTGTGATGGTTGTATACAACAAATATAACTATCGCCACTATAATACGCTTAATGCCGTCGCGAATTATCATAAACACGCGTTATCGTACATGCAATTTGTCCAATATAGTCTGTCTATACAAAATCAGAACAAAGTTCATCATTTAGTTAAGTTAAATATTAAATGCTTTCGAAGTTTTTTCTAGCGGCCAGATCTTCAAAAAATAAAAGAATTTTTTGTATTTTTATTTCATAAAAAAAAATTTTAAAAAGAAATCTTTATTTATATTTGGTTCACCCGCGTATATTCTGCCTCTTAATAAAAAAATCAAAACAAGTTTGAGAAACAAAATCTTCATCTTTCATTGAAATAAATCGAATTTTTTACAATATTTTACTTCTTTACTGAGCGATTTTATTTCATTATGTACATTTCACCGATGTTTGTCGATTTCATCACTCACTGATGCTTGTAACGGACATCTTCGTAAGTTTCGCGAAAGTAAGATTTCTTATCTCTTGTAATGTCAAAAATAGATCAAATTCTCGCTCTAGAGTATGCTTCATTTCTACGATCATCAAGGAACCCATTCCAAGTTCAGCTAAAGATAAATTTGGACTTACAGTATTTATCTTACTTATACCTATAATATAAAATAAAAAATGATTATGATCTTATAGTGTATTTTTCGTAAACTGCAAATAAATAATTAAGTAAACAAAAAGTACAATAAACAGTTACAAAAAAATAAGTTTGCATAAGAACAATTACCTAAAATATTAGCAACTGTTTCTACCAAACTGTTTCTACCAAATCCGTGACGTTCCACTCTTTTTTCAGCTACAACAATGCTGCTCACAATCGGCCGGCTTTGAATTAAAAACATATCAAGCTGGTCAAGACAGCAGGATATCTTTTGTCGTGAGGTGCCACCAATAATTATTGTCTTATTATTCTCCTGCATATTTTCAAGAATACCCACGTCATCAATAGCTCCCCACTGAATCACCAATCCAGGTAATCCTTCCTCCACTCTCTTCTCGCAGATTCTCTCCATAACGGAATTGGCCATACCATAATTAGTCTGTCCAATGATTCCTCTGCCGCAGGAAATGGAAGAAAACGTTACAAAATGCCGCAATTTTAGGCAAATTTCTCTAGAAAGTTTATCCAACATCTGCGTTGCTCGAACTTTCGATTGGAAAGGCACTGCAAATGTCTCTGCGGTTTGATTCTTAAGAATATTGTCCTTCAACACTGCACCGAGATTGAATATTGCATCCACCGGTGCTTCTTTTTCCGCAATCCGTAAAAGATATTCGCAATCTTTGAAATCAGCAACATCAATATTCTTAATAATCAGAACATTTACACCATACGACTTCCATAATCGAATTTTCATGCGTTGATAACCATTTTTTATTCCATTTCTTGAAATCAAAACGATATTTCTGGCACCACGAAATATAAGCCAATCGGTTAATTCTAAACCAAATCCACCCAGACCTCCTAGTATAACGTAACTTCTATCTCTGAGACAATAATAGCGACGATATGCGAGAATGTGCCTACCTAAAGGCTCATCCTTTTCATGGATATTTATTATTATCTATAAAAATAATAATATTTTAAAAATGTACGCGTTATAGAGATATGTGAAATAGGTTTGTATAAGACTATTTATGAATAAACTTCATTATTAGTCAATATATAAACATACCTTTCCTATATGCTTTCCACCCGCCATATACCTAAAAGCTTCTTCGATATTTGTTTTAGGAAAAACTTTTACTTGAAGTGGTTTGATTATTCCATTTTTTAGACCATCGGCTATCATTTTAGACAATAGAGTCTTGTACATGTAATTATCAATGAATATATTCTCCAGTATAATTCCATGAACACTAATACCTTTCTGAAACGCGGATATACTTAAGGGATTATTAGAAACAAGATCAAATTTACCAATCTCTAAAAAATGACCATTTTGCGCCAAACACCGAACGGATGCGATTAACTTTTCTTCCGCCAATGAATTTAACACGATGTCGACTCCGCGACCTTTCGTTTGCTGCATTATCATTTGTTCAAAACTAGTATCTCGAGAACTTCCAATACGTCCATCCGAGATGACGGGAAACATTTTCTTAATGAAGTTCCGTTTATCATTCGTGCCTACAGTAGTGAACACCTCGCATCCTTCGTGAAGAGCGAGATGAATAGCTGCTTGTCCAACGCCGCCAGTTCCAGAATGTATAAGTATTTTATTACCTTTTTTCATTTTTCCATAAATATATAAGGCCATGTAAGCCGTACTGTAAACGCATGGGATCGTCGCCGCCTCTTCGAATGTCCATGTTTCGGGTACTTTCCAACACAGATCTTTATCTTTCACAACGACGTTTGCTATACAACTGGAAAAAATAATTTTAATTTAGTTTCAATTTCATGATATTACGCAACGCACTTATTTTATGGAGTATCATTTACTCAGTATCACAAATTCCCATTACACGTTGCCCGTTAGCATCCCATCCTGCATATTCCATTCCAAGAGAAAGATACTGAAATAACCGTCCCTTTAAAATCGCCTCATGAGGTGTTAATTTACCAGTCGCGAACATTACATCTCTAAAGTTCAGGGATGAATAGACAACGTGCACTAAATCCTCGCGACGAGACACAACTGATCGATTATTCTCTATCCAACAGAATGTGCTTAAGTCACCTCGAACCTATAAAAAAACGAAATTTTGTGTTATGACATACATAGAATAGAATTTTTAATAGAAACTATGTAACAAAATCTAGTGTTATTCTACAATGATAGCGATCAATATGTTTTGAAAAAATTTATATGTACCATTTGAGAAACATGAGCGGTAGGCACAAGTCTGGCTTCGGGTTCTAATAATTTTAAATATCTGTACGATCCCCAAGTTTTATTAGCTCGCAATACATTAATAGTCATATCTTTATCTAATTGTTGTACATAAAAAGGATCTTTAAGAGAGAATTTAGAGGCTTCCTCATCTTGAACAAGCACACCCCTAACAAATTCACCACCTGGCTCCTTTCTTAAACAGTTTATAAAACCTAATAAACCGCATTCAAAATCTCTCTCTCCTACAATTATAATTCTGCTATTCTTATCGAGCTTATTCTCATCGCGCACAAGCGGCTTTAGATTCTCCAGCCAATCAAAGTTATCATTATTTATGTAAACAATAATTCTTTCTTTTACATAAACTTTTTTTTTCAGAAGTACAATCATTTCTTTATCAGTGCGCTTTTCAAGAATAACATTTAATTCATATTGTTGTAAATATTTCTTATAGTCAATTACTTCACATTTTTCACGCGTTAATAAATAACCACCTTCTCTTAGAAATGACAACAATCGCTTTAACGCAGTATGTTCTTTAGTCAAAAGGTTGAATCCTGCAACTATTAGAGCATTATCGAGCTCATTTTTAAATGATTTCTTCAAATTTTCGATTGAAATGTTTTGCGATAAGTTTGCTGGATTAAAACGATTCGGCGATGTTAGTAAAGTGATATTCGTTTGTATCAATGGAATATCCTGGAACGTCTTGACTAATAACGTAGATGAGAGACATTCTAATGAAACATCATCGTTATCTTCCACTAACTCGACTGCTTTTACTTTGACAATTTGATGATCTTCCAGTGCAAGTTGCGCCGACATCCAAATTGCTTCGTTCAAAGAAACCTTAGCGCGATCGCAATGAGCTACAAATGTATTTTCCTCGATAACAGCATTTTGAGCTAATTTTCGGCGAGTAATTTGAGTGAGTTTAAGACCTTGTATTTCTACTCCGCCAGCTATAATCACGTCTATCTCTTTATATACTTGTACCTGTAATTCTGTAATAAGACATCTAAAATAATACTTTTGAGGCTTTCACGGATATTTTCGTCAGAGGGTTTGCGAGTTATCGCTGAATCATAGCCAATATTTCGTGAACCTTGCCATTTACTTCATCAGAGTGAGAATGCTAAATATTAGCATTAGTAATGGATTACAACATGACGATAACCCGCAAATCCTTTAGCGCATCTCTGAAAACATCTAAAGTAATATATTTTATATGATAGAGATTTTTTTACACTATATTCAAGTTTCAAACAAAATGTCTCTTTGTTAATAAATGAAGTAAACTTACGTTTTTCCATTGTTGTTACACCTTCTACATCATGATTTGCGTCCTGTAGCTTTCGATCATGAAGCATGGGATTGATCACTAATTTTTGAATACTCGTAGGAACATACAAATCTCTAGTATCATGTTCTAAGATATTCATTTGTAACATTGAATCTACGAACGTTACCCAGTTCTGTCTCCAAATAATATGTCCTTTTTTACCCGAGATAGATGAACTTTTTAATCCACGAAACCAGCCGTTATATTGATAACCGCGCAGTTTCAACTCTTTGTAGATATCCCGAACAGTCATAAATTCTTTTTCACTATTCTCCCATAATAGATCTGTCGAAGTCATTTCTAGTTCGGGATTCGATGTTTCGTACACTGTACCTGTCACAACAACTCTATCTTCTTCGGTTATTTCGAATTTTCCATCTATTATATTTTTATATATTAGTTTATTATTACGCATTTTCGGCATTTTTACGATTATATAATATTACTTTATGTTAACTTATCTTGTTAATACCTTTTTGAATCGCAATGTTCAATTTTACAGCATTTTGTTTTGATAAATGAATAGCGCGAATAAAATTTACATCTTGAAAAACTATCGGTATTATTGTATGCTTTTGTCCTTTCATCATACCAATAGTTTCCCAAACGAGTGCAAGATAACCCGCCGTGGGTAGTAAGTTTCTTTCATCAATTATACAGTCACTCATATATTCGTAATCGTGATCCTCGAGTAAAATTTCAACGTATCTTTCTCTGGATTTTATGGACTCTTGTGTTTCGTAGCGTGGTATGAACCAATCTTCGAAATGATTCCATCTAATGAAACGATAAAATGTGTTATAATACAAAAATTAAGTATAATATGTTTTTAGAATTTTCTTGTCTTCTGCCTAAAGCATTAAAAAATTAAAAAGTAAATAATATATTTATGGTTAAATACAGGACTTATTTTATTAACTTTTCATTATGTATTTACAATGTACGTACTTTTTTAAATATAAATTTATTATAAAATAAATATAATTTAAAATATATATATATGTGTATTATACTAATAATTATAATATAATTGTAATTAATATATATCTACACATATACGTAAAAACACACACACACACACACACACACACACACATATGATACATACATGTATATACTGTAAGAAATAAAAAAAAATGTTAATTTTAATTTAAAGACTTTAGTGGATTTTCTGAGATATGCAAATGTCATTTTTATGGTAATATTATTACAAATTATAAAGAATAAGTATACTTCCCAGGTAAAAAAAAATATTATATTATTACATTTTTGCATGTCTCAGAAAGTCCACTAAACATCTTTAAGTTAAAATTGACATTTTATTTTTTGCAGTGTATGTATGTATAATTAGCAGGGAATGGAAAGTTACTTTTTAAAAATAACTAGTTACAGTTACTCGTTACCGAGGAAAAATGTAACTAGTTACAGTTACAGTTATCGCTTTTTAAAAGTAACTCGTTACAGTTACCGTTACTTAAAAAATAACTTTTCGTTACTTTTCCGTTACTTTTTTTAAAATCAATTTAAAAATGTACTTTTGCATTTTTTTTTTATATGTAATACTAACAAATATATAGTTTTATTAAAAAAAAAAAA